AGTGCCTAATGCACACCAGAATTTGAACTCACTTGTTAGCAGCAAGCCTAGAGTTAAAACAGCAATGTTTGCTACCAAGAAATGTTTTTGAGAGAGGGTTCGAAATGTCATAGGAGAAAAGATGGCCATAAAGTGAACAATAGAGAATACTGGCAGGAAAAGTAGTTGGGTGAACCATTGCAAGCATTGAATAAGCACCGAAACATAGTACATTTCGTTAGCTGAAATGAAAAGATAATGTAATAAATTTCAGCGTGAAAATCTTGGAAAATATACCTAAGAAATCAATGTTGAGAGCGTAGCTTGGCACATCGTGTATAATGACAGTGCAGTATGCGGCAGTGTCGATTATCATGATAGTGATTATCATGAGAAAAATGAAAGTTCGAGAAAATTCTCGAGTTTTGATAGCTGCCCATACAACAAGCATTTCCAAAAGGATGATTAGGGACTTTAGAGAGAAATTGACTATGTAAATCGCCACTTTAAGAGACATTTCAGATGCTTTTCTGAAAACAAAAATATTCAAGAGATTTCTGAGAGTCGCATTTGATTCGTAGCACACTTAATCGCTTTTTAACTCTTGCCTACTTTAAGACAAGCAGCAGATGATATGCAAGGATCTCAAAAACGAAGGCAGAAGCGGTATTGCGTTTTTGGGATGTAAAGTCTCACAAAAAAATGTTCTTAATATTTGTCCCAATTGCGTGAATACAAAGCCCGACAAGCTGGCATAAACGCCAGATGAATTGAATATGCACTTATTACTCAAATTGGTGTCTGGAATGAGATTCAGCTAGCTCAGAAATGGAGAACCCTAAAATTGCTTTTACAACATCAAATATTTTCATTATATAAGAGGCGTAGCTATAGCTTAGACTTTTTAAATTTTATATTAAAAGAAGCGGAACAAAAAGCGCTAAGAGCTTCTAAAACTTGTCTGGCGTACTCATTTGATTAGCTTCTAAATATAAAGAGATTTTTGGTTTGAATATGCTTGAATGCATAACGACATTCTCTTAAACGATGTGGAAAATAAGTATTATATCTTTTCAGAATTAGATAACACGTAGTGAAAATGTTCAGTGGAGATGTGAGATGAACCATGAGATTTAACGTTGGATTTTTGATTTGTGAGACAATTTAACTGAGATTCTCCTTCACACCTTGAATTCTTAACTTTTTCGAAATATAAATTTCAGAGCTTAAACAAATACGTGGTACATTCAAGGAGGTAACTTGATGAATGTACTACTCTAGCAGCAATGCGAACTGCTAACGCAA